AGGTGGGGGAGTCCAAGCCACATTCATTACTGCCTTGGTCTGTGTGCAATTTGCTATTTCACCCCACTTCCTCAACATGTCATCCACAGTGTAATCTGTGAATAGTTCCAAATATTTCAGCCACTGTACCGCCCTAATATGTATGATAGCCCTCAGATCTGCAATTTTCTCTATCCCTTCCCATACCGAGCAACCATATGGCTGACTCGCCTCACCTGGCTCCCATCCCCCACTTCTTAGACCATACTTTGCTTTAATTACTCTCCTCCACAGGCTATTCTCTTGCTGCCCAAATCTCCAAAACCATTTGCCAAGAAGGGCAATATTAAGATCTCTCAGTTTTCTGATGCCCAAACCTCTGTTTTTCTTGTGCTTCCAAACCCTACCCCAGCTTACTAAGATTTTTTTTTTTTTGAAACTGCTTACTAAGTGAATCTTCTTCTTGTCATTCCAGCCTTTCCATAGAAACTCCCTCATTTTCTTTTCAATGAAGACTGCCATCCCAGCTGGAATTGGGTACATGGATAGTAAATAGACTGGAAGTGAGGACAGCACTTTTTAAATTAAAGTGAGCTTACCCCCATTTGATAAAATACTTGGACTTCCATGCAACCAGTTTCTTTTCCACCCTCTCTACTATAGGTTCCCAAATAGATTTTGCATTGCATTTAGCCCCTAAAGGCAATCCCAAATATTTGATTGGCAACTTACCTACCTTGAAACCCCAGTAGTCTGCCCACTCTTGTAAATCTGGAACCTCTCCCACTGTCAGCAATTCACTTTTATGGATATTCAGATGCAACCCTGAGACTGCCTCAAACCACCACAAAGTTGCCATCAAAAACTCTAGTTGCTCTTTAGAAGCATTACAAAAGAGCATTGTGTCATCAGCAAACTGTAAGATAGGGATTTCTACAAATTCATTTCAGATAAGGGAGCATTTCTTCTCTTTGTTTGGTCACAAGTTAGAGAAACCACTATAACTAGGGGTGGATCATCTGTTTAGACCTTTGTTATCGAGCACGGGTTTTTTTTTACCATAAAAAKAATTTTTCGCCCCCTTTCTTTTCTATAGATTTGAATTTTACCGATCAGTAATAATAATACTGCCAGTTATTTTATTTTAATCTGGTATACACAATAATTTGAATTTATTCATGTATAACTTTTTCTATCAAATTAATCAATAATCAACCTAATTTTTCA